CTTACCCTTCCCTCTCTATGTATAACTAGTACAAACTACACCACTACTACTAGTAATACATACTACAATTCTCACTCAACAGATACACCCCCATAAAAAAGAATAAAAATAAAAAAAACATCAAAACAGCCCTACCGTCGCCTGACAGTCGATGATCGAGTCCCGGTAGACCCCCACTCATCTTTGTTAGGAAAAACCCGAACAAGAAAGTCTTTCCAGCCCATCGTGGTATTGCGACTCGCCCTGCTATGCTCCCATTACTTGGGATAATACCCAGCAAACTCCCAGTCCACAAGAGCAGTGACATTGCCCTTATCATTGACAAGGATATTTCGTGGAACAAGATCGCCATGGGTAAAAACAATCTCATCCTTTTCCTGTTGTGCATCTTCGTTCTGTGATGAATCGTCGGTGTGCGATGAATAGTCGTCCTGTGATGCATGCATCCTCGTGTCTATACTTTGTATTTTCTGAAACTGGCTGAACCGCTCCCCGGACTCGAAGGGCCATTCCTCTTGAACAGTTTGATAACCGGTTATAAGTCTTGTGGGTCCGCCATTCAGAGCCTCAATCCTTTTACCCTTAAGTTCACGGAGCTCAGAGACATACTTCTTCAAGTCCTCGGCGAGTACTTCTTTCTGGCCATCATCCAAGCCCTCCCACACCTTGTCAAGTGTATCACCCGGCACAAAGTCCATGATTATTTGGACTACTTTATCGTTTTCGTAGAGAATCTTAGTTGATCCACCATTTTCATCGTACTTGACCTCGAACACTTTGTCGTTCTCGTAGTGGATGTTGGTTGATTTTCCTGCTTTATCATAGCGGACATTGATCTCTCTGCCATCTTTGTACTGAATGCTACGGACCTTCGGAACCGGGATGTTTGTATTGTCATTGATGAAGATGAGCGTAAGAGGCTCGTAGATCGTGAGGCCTTCCTTCCCGCATTTATATATCGCTTTTCTCCCCTCATCGTGGACTACGGTGTGGTCTCCTCTGCCATATATGGCCCGGGGCTGAGAGATGTTATCTATTGCTTAGGGTTAGCGTATGCCACAGATAGGTACTGATATGCTTACCTTTACTAGCCATTTTGAGAGCACTATAGGCTGAAATACTGTCGAGTTTGCATGGTAAATCAATTAGATAGAAGATCACGGTCATTTATGTAGACCAGCCGGTATAAAGGGTTTCAGAGCTCTACGAAGAGAAGTTTAGATCAAATAATGAGTTAATGGTGCCATGACGCGGCTTGCCATATTCAAAACGGCTTTGGGATTCTTTTTTTTTAAAAAGGTGAGATAGAGCAGAGAGCCTGAATTCGAGTGGTTTGAAGTGACCGTATGTATGTGCTACGTATGTATGGCTCCATAAGTTTCCAATGATTCAAGATAACGATGTTGTCGGTTGCTTTGATTTGGGTTTGTATGTAGTAGTAGTTATATATCTACCTATACTAAAACTTCATATGGTGATAGATCGATTGACAAAGTCTTCTACAAGGGCTCCTTCTTGTGCCAGGTAGAGACAAGAGATGAAACGGTGTGGTTACCCCATGTTCGAGGTTCGGACAAAGGTTCTATGATTCCTGGGGTTCTACAAACAAAGAGAGGACAATGTCCTGACGTTGATGAATACCAAAGGTTAGCCGAATGGTGATAGAAGATGTGTAGAGAGATTCCTTCTTGTACTTTTGGACATCTTCCTCGTTTATATCTATGGTATACATTCAAAAATTGGAAAATTAACCTCAATTACATATACTGCACTATCTCGGTATCCCAGGCATAAAGAGTAGGTACGGGAAGTTTACACCTCCCGAGTACTTGTCGCTTACATTACCCATGAACATCCATGCTCCTCACCTCTCAATCTCGCACATACTGTAGCGCATATCTGAACGCAATAGGTAGTATCTCTGATCATCTCATACAACTCATTGATTCTTATTTTAATTCGTCACCAATGTCATGGATCAAGCCTGTTTCAAATAATCTTTTGCATATATTTAAGAGACCTCCTGGATCTTAGAGGACTTAGCCGACTCCCCAGCAGCCTTGTCAGCCTCCTCAAGCTCGGGCATCTCCTCGTCATCCTGGAACAGCTAGTCAGCAATTGCAATTGTTTGACATTGACAACTTTGCCTGCGAAATAGACGGAACCTACCGACTCGCCCTCAGCACCTTCGGCACCAGGAACAGCGCCACCCATTCCTTCAAGGCCTGCACCAAGCTTCGAGAAGTCAATGTTTCCGAGGCCGCCCTCGCCGCCCATGCCGCCCATGCCTTCGAAGCCGCCGAAGTTGTTTGCATAGTCATCCTCAGCAACCTCATCCTGCTCATCTTCATCGACCCACTGCACAATTATCAGCATTACACATACTCGCGTTGGTGGACGGAGTCGTATTCCATACCTTATCGAAGTCGGTCTTGAGGAAGTGGATCTTCTGAGTGGTCTTCAGAAGACGGGGCCAGAATTCCTCCTTCAGCTCCTTCTTACGCAGGACCAACTCAACCTCACGGTCACTGTGGTTCACCTTGGACTGGTCGGGGTCGATCTCAGCGTACAAATCCAGGGAGACTTCATAACGAACACCCTTCTTGGAATCACCGGCGAATGTGACATTGGTGGAGGTAATTTTGAGGGTGGCTGCGTCACGAGCTACATCGGAAGCTTTGATGTTCACATAAAGGTAATTGCGCTCAGCGTCGCTGGCAGATGAGCGCTGGGCCCATGTGACTGGAGGGTCACCGTATGTTAGCGAACCTCGATCCCATTAGGAAAGAATAAGAGCATCAATTAATAGTTGAAAAAGTGTTTTTTCTTTTTTCATTGTGTCCCAGCCCCTTCTCCTAGACAAGAAAAAAAGGCTGATAAAGTAGGGTGGGAAGGATAAGTTGGAATAACTTCCAACAAAGCGGGGAAAGGTAAGAGGGGGAGCCTGCAGAATTACGTACCTTCAGGGTGGGCCTTAGGAAGCTCAGGCATTATGAAGGTAAGGTGAGGTGTGTAACGGGGAATTTATGCAAGTAGGAAGTGAAGATGGGAGGGGGGTATATTGGACAGTGGGAGGGAATGATATCGTGAAGGGTCAGTTGGAAGCTGAAGAAGTTCAGACTAAGCGTGTTTGGTGAGTAAGGGAAGAATACCTGCTAGTAACTAGTAAGACCAACCAGAGCTGATAATCCGCTCTAGAAAGTACTGGAACTCTCACCCTCTGCCTGGCCCGCTGTTTGACCTGTTTGCGGACTGTGACATGCCTGGGGCATTAACCATTCACACGACGTCACTGGAAGGCGGTAAACCAACATACACCACCCGCTGACTCAGCAGGGACTGGATCGTCCGTTCGCTGGCCACGATCATATTTGATTCCGGATCGACGAGATCGATCACAATGCTGATTACACTCACAAATGAGGATCATCGAACCCGCGGTGTGATTTGACACTGACCGAAGTACACGGTAACGCTGCTGACCTGAACTCATCGACGACTATTTCACCACATAGCCGAGGAATTCTGTGCGCTGGGATATCATCCTGCCTGCATAACCCCACCTATTGCAACGACCCAGGCCATAGATATTGTATCCTGAGCCCTGTGCCGATACGGTCCCGGCCTTTCTGAATTACTTTATATATCTTCCTCAACCGTGCTGTCCACTTATAGGCTATTGCCATATACTCTACAACATCAAAAGTAAAGCCTAGAGAGATCAGTGTGTCAGCCTGATTCATCATGGAGACTCTCAAAGCGGTCTTTTTCGGTCCTGATCCTCAGGCACAGGTGCGATCAGATAATATATACGCTCTCACTGTTTGCCATTCTAACATAATCTCACGTACAGATGAGAAAATGCAACGCACTTATCCGCGCCAACACTCGCCAATTGGACCGCGATATTGCACAGCTCAGGACTTTGGAGAACAAAACGCGGCAATATATCATGAACGCCTCACGTCGGGCCGAGCGAAACCCATCACAATCTAAGCAGGCCACCCAGGAGGCTAAAACCTTTGCTCGCGAACTGGTTCGGATCCGGAAACAATCTACCCGTCTGCACACGAGCCGAGCCCAACTACAGAGCGTCCAGATGCAGGTCAACGAAGCATTCTCGGTGCGGAAGATTCAAGGAAGTCTGAAGAAGTCGACTGGCATCATGAAGGATGTTAACACATTGGTTCGACTGCCCGAATTGAACGCGACGATGCGTCAACTTTCAACAGAGTTGGTCCGGGCTGGTATCATTGAGGAAATGGTAGACGATGCGATGCCAGACAATGAACTCTACGAGGATGAAGTGGATGAGGCTGAGGAAGAGGTTGCCAAGGTCTTGCAGGAGATCTTGCAGGGAAAGCTTGCGCAAGTCGACACGGTCAAAGCCGAGGAGCCATTGGAGGAGACACCCGCCGTCGAAGAACAGTTCGAAGATCAAGAGGCCACTCTCGAACAAATGAGAGGCCGACTGGAAGCATTGAAGAGCTGAGTCCTGTGAACGCCGAATTGAAGTCTACGCATGCCTGTAATATGATGTTACGAGCGACCCCGAAATGCTGCACAAGCATTGTTTCTTTGTTGATATATTCACTTTGGGAGTTCGGCCGGTGGAGCATTTGGGATTTGGTTCATTTTCACTTTGTTTTGTGTCTACTTTAGAGGCAGGTCCTGATTTTTCTGAGTATGAGAGGCTATTTCAGCGTTGTCTTAAGCCATTGTCATATCTTCTTTATTGGACACATGGTAGACATCATTTTTCTTGCTTTTCTTGGAGTGGGGTCGAGGGTCTTTGCCATTTGATCAATTCTTCGAATGTACAGGTGAATCGTTTCATTGATATTTAAGAAACTCCTATGCACTCCTCAATAAGAAACAAGAGTTAAATAAAGGAGAGAAATGGTACAATGAATGTTAATATATGTAATTCCCTGTTAAAGGATCAATAGGCCGTGGTGTGTTGGATAATTGATAAAGCAATTGCCAGGTCAGTGACGTTTCTATTTGCGGACTAATGGGGCGACATTCCCCCAAAGTGGACTAGTGGCAGAACTCAGCCTCTCCTCCAGTCTTTCTTGTTGTCCCTCGACTTCCACCCGTTTTGTCTTCCCGCATTTGCCTCTCTCCTTTTCATCATCTCAACGTCGCGTCTCTCATCCGAACGTGGTGTATAATTAACTTCAATACTTCTGTTCTACTCCACTGTCTACCACTTATCTCGCTAATTACGCCTGTCAGAGCAACTGTCTTGAAAACAGACTTTAACCTGCCCCTTGCTGTTGCGAACCTCTCTTCGGTGACGCAACGACTGACACGCTCGAACTCCCGAGAATCTTTTCGAGAGTCGCTAGTATCGCTCATACTCATCTATCTTTCACCTAACACAATGTCTGGAAAGTTGGACAAGTCTCTTGACGAGATCCTCGTCAACCGTCGTCAGGGCGCTCGTCGCCGCAATCGTCGTTCAACCCAGGCTAAGGCTGCCCCGGCCGCTGTTGGAGGAGTGAAGAAGAGCACGAAGGCTGCGAAGCCCGTCGGCAAGGCTGCCCAAGCTGGACACCCTATGTCAACTGAAAGCAAAATCATGGTCAGCGGCTTGGTAAGTTTCCAGCCTCGACTCTTAATCTTATAAGCGCAATCTTAGCTAACGTCAACAGCCTTCCGATGTGAATGAGGCCAATATCAAGGTATGTTGATTAAGAGGCCTTCGCCTTGGGTTTCTATCGCCATGTCTTTCTTTCTCGAAACCTTCGAGGCGCTTCGGCTTTTCCACGCGTTCCGACCCTTGTTACGCCGTCCTCATATGTTCGCGACCGTTATTGGTCGCGTCAAAAGGCAGCGCACTCCTTTGAGCCATGTTCGCGCGCTATTTGAAACCTAGCGCTCCGCGAGTCAGCCGAAGTTGAGTCCTGCCTACAGTCTTGCGCAAAGTGTATCATGCTTGAGCGGATGTTTTAGCAATCCGCTCGCGAGATCGCTGCAGGCTGTGCTATGAATGGTAGTTGAAACACACCATTCTGATTTCATCCCGCTTGGCTGCACCTTTCTTTTTGAATTTGCATTTCGGGTGTCGGGCATCAGCGAGCGCACCAGCAGACCAGTAGGGCATCAGGCCATACAGCAAGCAGTTTTCTCCCAAATATTTTTTCCCATCGTCCTTGTCTGAGTGTGTCATTTTATATGGGCAGGAGGCAGCTCTCTTGTGACTTTGGGACCAGTTAGGCCTTGCTTCGCCCTGAGATGGGCTACTATGTGGGTGTCTGGGGGAACCTGATAAGTCTTCGCCGCACACCAATGATAATGTCTTGACTACATCGGTACTGTGTATTTGGACATAGTGTTGGGTGGATCCGACCCTGGTTCAGATAAATGTGGAAGTGGATTGTTGTTGGTACCGGTCGAGGTGGATTAGGAATTGCGGAGAAGACACGACTTTCAGTACAATGGAAATATTGGCGGCCGTTGATGCAGACGTGTGGAGTCTGTACGCGTTGCCGGGCTTTAAGTCAAAGCTTTGTTGCAAATAATCCTCGAGGGTCTTGCTAACTGCCGCTGTGTGCTCGCTGATGCTCTCACTGTGGAGTTTCGGTCCAACCTACGCGTCGTTTTTTCGAGCTTTCGCTCATGCCAGCGTCTACAACCATGTGACTTAATAATCATGAGCACAAGTACTAATCGTATGTGCTGGATATAGGAATACTTCTCTAAATCCGCAGGACCCGTCAAGCGAGTCATGCTCACTTACAACCAAAATGGCACTAGCCGCGGTATCGCCTCCATCGTCTTCAGCAAACCCGAGACGGCTGCCAAAGCCGCCAAGGATCTGAACGGACTGCTTGTTGATGGACGTCCCATGAAGGTAAATTTTCATACCACATTTTGTAAATCACGAATAGGTTGAGTCTAACGATGTATAGATTGAGGTTGTCGTTGATGCCAACCATGCTCCCGAAGTCCCGGCTGCCAAGCCTCTTGGTGAGCGTGTCGCGTATGTTTATGTTCGTTGTGGTATAATTAAAGGACCACTACTAACAGAAAATCAGACAAACCAAGTCCCAACCAAAGCCAGCCACTGCCAGCAAGGCTGCCGACAGCACTCGTGGACGTGGCCGTCGTGGTGGCCGCCGCGGACCCAAGTCGAACCGTCCCAAACCGAAGAGCGTGGAGGAGCTTGACGCTGAGATGGTCGACTATTTCTCTAACGAAAACGCCGGTCCTGCTGAGGGCAGTGCTCCTGCTCCTGCGGCAGCTCCTCAGCCCGCCAATGGTGGCGAGGATCTTGGAATGGCCGAGATCTCTGTAAGTTGCCCCTGGTCTGGGTATGCTGGAAGACTAGCTAACATACGTATCAGTAAATGTATCATGGTACCTTCTATTCAATTGCAGAGGCAGGTTACTTCTGCCAAGTCAGGTTGGCTTCTAGTCGGCTAGGGATGCCATCTAGGCTTGATATTCAGATTTGTTTTTCGGTTCTATTATTAGCCCTTCTCACCTTTTCTCGTCGTATGTTTTCTTAGTTTGGTTTTCTAATGTCTCTTCTGCTATTTGGCTCGTTGACGGGAACTGGAGGAAGACTTGTATGTATTTAATAAACGGATTGTTGCAATGAAAACGCGAGGTGAAAACGTGAAAATATAGCCAGCACGTCGGAATCTGTCGTGCTCCCAACTGTTCGTCTTGGCCCATGACGGCTGATCAAAAATATACCCGCCAAAAGCCAATGCATATCTTCTAATATAATGCTGATCATATCACACAGTGTCTAGATTTCTCACTCCGACACTTGTGAGAATTCAGTGTAGTAGTGTCTGTTATTCATCTAGCTTGATGCCACACATATTGTTAATGCAATGTAAGCCTCAAGTAGGGAGATTTTGATATTTCTATCTTCCAACTCCCTCAATAGCCAAACATCCTTTCAGTTCAATGAACCCAATTCCAAAGGATGTCTTCAGGGTTGTATATTGCTTGCACAATTCTGTCCAAAATGCAGGAAGGCAAGGCCAACATGCTCTGAAACATACCCTGCTCGTCTTATTTTGTTTTCATTCTCTCACTCTTACTTGATACTTGTGCCTGGATATGTTCTAGCGCAACGAATTCGATATCTACACTAAAGCCAGGTGATTACCTTCAGAATGTTATATGCCAGATATGCCAAGTCGTACAGACATCTGATATAGGTATTGACATGCACGAATCAAAAACAAAAAGACAAGAACTAGTCCGTTCATGAAAACAGTAAAAAAGCCGGAAAGTATATCGGTGTTTATACACCCAGCGGCTCTATATTTTCACTCGACTTCTTATGCAGAAGAAGGACAACAGCCGAACCAAAACAGGCCCATAAGGACAGTGAAGAGTCCCCCCTTGCGCTTACTCCCTACACCATGATAGAGGGACCAAGCTACCAACGTCCTGATGAGGGCCCATACTAAGAGCACAAGCTATAGTGCATAGTGTATCTCTTCATTGGTCGAGTCGGCCGCCTGGTCTAAATACGGCGACGGGAATTCTTAGGTCAGATGGCATCAATTTAGATAGCCTCAGTAATTTAGGTAGTATAATAAAAGGCCATGTAATTCTTTCGCTAGGTAGTATTTTGCCAGGTCCTTGAGCTGGTCGTCCCTAGTATGCATATCAATCTTGATCCACTGGCATACACTACAGAGCCGGCAAGTTAAATCCGTTGATCGTGGTCAGGAGTGTAATTGCCGAAAGAAGAACCGAGACCACGCCGGATGCGGTCTTTTTCTTTCTCTTTTTTTTTTTTCAGGGATTATCCTAGGGACAGTAGTGGTTTAT